TGGAGCCTATAACGGCCAGGAATATGATATATCCCCACAGATAAGAGAAGGAGAGAATGAGGTGCAAGTGAAGGTCTACCCCGTGGATTACACAAGGGATTTTGGTATCGGCTGGGCGGATTGGAATCCCCCGCCGCCGGATAAAGGCATGGGGGTTTGGAGGGGGGTGGAGGTTAGTGGGGTGTATGGGGTTGCCGTGCAGGGGTTGCGGGTGGTTGTGGGGGAGATAGGAAGTGGGGATGTAAAGGTGAGGGTTAGGGTTGGGGTGAGGAATTGGGGGGATGAGGGTGTGAAAGGGTGGTTTATGGGGAGGGTGTTTGATAATACTACTGATGATACTAGTTCTGGAGTGCAGTTTGCTGAAACTGTCACTCTACAAGGTGGGGAAGTTACTACAGTTGAAGCAGAAGTTACTATCAAGAATCCAAAGATATGGTGGCCCGCTACCTGGGGAAACCAGGACATGTACACTGTTTCTGCGAACTTCACTCTCAGTGACGGAACATTATCTGATACAGCGGAGTGCTCATTCGGGATTCGCTCAGTCACTGCGACATTCACCGACCATGGAGACGAAAAAGACGTCTCGTTCAGAGTGAACGGATACCCCTTCCACGTCCGCGGCGCAGGATACAGCCCTGACATATTCCTCCGGTTTGATATAGACCGTGTACGCACACTCCTACAAGCTGTGCTAGATATGGGGCTTAACACGATCCGACTTGAGGGAAAACTCGAACACCCACTGTTCTATGATCTAGCCGATAGAATGGGCATCATGGTGTTAGCGGGGTGGGAGTGTTGCGATAAGTGGGAGGCGTGGGAGGTATACCCCCTTAATCATCTCTACCCTGTTGACAATATACTAATAGGAGGGGGTATAGTACAACACCGACCTCCAACCCTCCCACCCCTGGACAAACCACGACTACCTAACCGCCACCTCAATGCTCACCCACACATCCCTCCTTCTCCAACCCCACCCCTGCATCCTCGCCTTCCTCCTCGGCTCCGACTACCCCCCCAGCCCCCGCGCCACCACCCTCTACACCACAGCCCTAAACCACTCCGACTGGACCGCCCCCATCATCTCCTCCGCTTCATCCCGCATCCACCCCTCCGGAATGAAAATGCTCGGTCCATACGACTGGGTCCCCCCCAACTACTGGTACGGGGAGCGCCTCGGCGCAGCATACGGCTTCGGCTCAGAGCAAGGCGCGGGTGTAGGGATCCCCGAATTACCCAGTCTGCGACGGTTTCTCTCCGAGGAGGAACTATCCAGTCTGTGGAAAGACAAGAATGCAGGGATGTACCATATGTCTCCTGCTGGATCGCAGTTCCATACAAAGGGGGTGTATAATGCTGCGCTGTGGGGGAGATTCGGCAAGCCGACGTCGTTGGAGGAGTATGTGTTTCTGGCGCAGGTGGTGGATTATGAGGCTACTAGGGCGGAGTTTGAGGCGTTTGCGGTGAGGCAGAATAGATCTGGTGCTGCTAGTACTACTGGTGCTGCTACTGGTGGTAATGGAGGGGGTAGGGCGGCGACGGGCGTGGTGTATTGGATGCTGAATAGTGCGTGGCCGAGTTTACATTGGCAATTGGTTGATTATTATCTTAAGAGAGGGGGCGCGTATTATGGAGTGAAGGTTGGGGCTAGGGGGGTGCATGTTGCGGTGGATTATGAGAGTGGGGAGGTGTATGTTGTGAATCATGGGGTGAAGAGGGGGGAGGGGAGGGTGGTTGTTGTTGATGTTGTGGGGTTGGATGGGAAGAGGTTGTATCATGAGGAGGTGGAGGGTGTGGTGATGGGTCCGACGATGGCGAAGAAGGTTACGTCTGTTGTTCCTTGGGTTGGGGGGTGGGATGGAGTGGTCTTTCTGAGACTAATATTGAAGGAGAGTGGGGGAAACGTGCTAAGTAGGAATGTGTATACCCTCCCTGCGCAACTTGATGTTCTGGATTGGGATGAGTCGACGTGGTATACGACATTGTTAGTGAGTATGCGGATTTCTTGGCGTTGAGGGGGTTGCCTACGGTGGAGGTGGTTGTCACTGGGAAGATGGGTGGTGGTGGAGGGGTGAGTGTCACGTTGGAGAATCGGGATAAGGTGCCGGCGTGGTTTGTGAGGATCAGCATGGTGGATGAGGCCGATGAGGAGGTGGATGTGTGGTGGGAGGATAATTATGTGAGTTTGTTGGGAGGAGAGAAGGTGGTTGTGAGTGGGAGGGTGGATAACAGTGGGAAGCTGGGGATCGGGAGGATGAGGGTTGTGGTGGAGGGGGGGAATGTGCGGAGGAGGGGATGCTATATTTAATGATATGCTAGGATATCTGAATCTAAATAATTCTGAGCATGTTGATGAGTAGTATCCACATCTATACTATATCAACTGTGTTTAGATACATGTCCAAATCTAACTCCAAATAACCCAAACTCATGATTATGACCAGCATAATACCAACTGCATCACACTAAAACTGCTTCACCGTCTTCTGCAACCCCCCAAACCTCAACGGTTTCCTCGTATACTTGTCCGGCTCCTCCCTCGCCCCCTTCTTCCAATAGTCAAACTCCATCCACACATTCTCCTTCATCTGCTCGTCCATGGCCTCGAGGAATTCACCCAGATCCGGACTCAACGGGATAACTCCCGTCTCAAGCACGTACTGATCCCACAGCTTTAACAACACCTTCATCCTCTCTGGCTCATTCTCGGCCAAGTCATGCACCTCGCCCGGATCGTTCCTCAGATTATACAGCTGCCAGCGCTCTGGTCCCTTCGGTTTCGGGATATACACGATCTTCCAGTCGCCGTAGCGCAGGGCTGCACGACCACAGGTCTCCCAGCCCTGGATGAAGTCCTCTGGGTGGATGCGCGCGGCGCTGCCATTGGCCCAGGGGTAGATGGACTTCCCGCGCATGGGAACAATCTCCCGTCCCTGGTATGTCGGTGCGGGGTGCTTGAGACCGGCCATATCCAGAATAGTAGGGGCGAGGTCCATGACCGTGGCGAACTGGTCTGTTATAGCACCAGCCTGGACTTGAGGAGACGTCTGTACTGAAGTAGGGAATCTAGCAAGGAAGGGAACGCGAACGCCTCCCTCCGTAGTGTATGCTTTATACAATCTGGACGGAGCGGTAGCTGCCTGCGCCCACCGCGGGCCGTACCAGATGAATGAGTTGTAGTTGCCCAGGTTCTCGAGAGAATTGTCGTAGTATTTCTGAAGATGAGGGAGGACTCCACTCTTCACCAGAGGGTATGCTTCGTAGGCTGCGCCCTCAGCACCATTGTCAGACATGAAGCAGACGAACGTATTGTCCAGCTCGTCAATAGAGGCAAGGTAGTCGACGACCTTGCCTACGTTGGCGTCGATACATTCAACCATACCGGCGAAGACTTCCATCGCGGTGGAGGACATCTTCTGTTCCTCCGGAGAGAGCTCAGACCACGGCTTAGCCTCGTCTTCCTCAGCAACCACAGGATGAGGCTCGACGCTGTCAGGGATCATGCCGAGAGCTTTGAGACGCTCGAGACGGCGTTGGCGCAGGACATCAGGACCTTCATCGTAGACGCCGCGGTAGTGGTCGATGTACTCGCGGGGAGCTTGCAGGGGCCAGTGGGGCGCTGTGAAGGGGAGATAGGCGAAGAAAGGCCGGTCATCGCCGCGCTCGTGCCAGTCTTTCAGGTAATCACGCATCTTGTCGCCGTAGCCGTCGGACGAGTACCATCCATCTGGGAGTTTCTTAACGTATTGGTCGTCTTCCGTGTGCAGGGCGATGTAACTAGCTTCGAGGAAGGTAGGGGTCTCGTCGGCGCCTTGGAGCTGAGGCTCGAAGGCGTAGTGGTTGGAGCAGGCTGGTAGGTGGGCGAGAGAACGGTCGAAGCCGCGACGGTAGGGCGAGCGCTCTGGGGTCAGACCCAGGTGCCATTTTCCTGCCATCAAGGTGTGGTAGCCCCCGTCGCGGAGGACTTCAGGGAGAGCGACGACGCGCTCGTTGAGGTAGCCTTCGTAACCGGGCATACCGCGCTGAGGAGCGGTGCTCATGCCGCCGCCCTTAGGGTCATTCTGGCCAGAAATGTTGGTCCATTCGACGAGGTTACCCAGACCGGCGATGTGGTGGTCGGTGCCGGTCATGATCATGGCGCGAGTGGGGCTGTAGTTCTCTATTAGAAGGGGTTGAAAGTATGACGCATGTATACAAGACGGGAACGTACGAGCATGCTGCTGCAGCGTGAAAGTCTGTAAAGCGAACGCCCTCTTGAGCCAGACGGTTGAGGTTAGGAGTGCGAATCTCTCCGCCAAAGCAACCAATGTCAGAGAAGCCCAGATCGTCGGCGACGACTACGAGGAAGTTGGGGCGTTTCGGAGCCATGATGTACGATATGAACAAAGGACTATTATGCAAGACTCACGGCTGATTAGAGCGACAAGACAGGGGGTTTTGGGGTATTTAAGTGGCATCTACCCCGTACTGTCCATCGGCTCTCGGCTGAGGCACGCGGCCTCGCCATTAAGCGCAACCAGAAACCAGAATTGATGACGGGAGAGTATCAGATGGAGAGGGGCATCACTATCCGATTGGCAAACCGCGTGAGGAGACGGTCAATCCGCAGTCAATCCGCATGTTGGAGCCAATGAGCGGATCACGCCATGATCCCCGCTTCTCACGCACTCGGCTGTCGGCTGCCTTGCCTTTTACGATCCTGGTCGGATGATCACTAAGTTGCTGTCTCCTCAAGAAGTAGAGTGGCAACGGACCGGAAAAGTTTTGGGATAGAGGCAAGTTGCCCGTTTTTGAGGGTATTGCATCGCTGGTTCACGATTACTTAGCAGTGGCGGAAGAAGCACCCGCTGTAACAGTGTTATACCCTCACTGCCATTATACTGCCGACCCGTGATCATCAATGCTTATTGGCTATTATCTTAGCAACGGTGGTCTACGATACAGATAGTCCTGACAGATACTGGGGAATGCATAGTACCATATTATGATGTGGTCTACTCATCCCATACCACACTGCTCAACCCCGTTGATGTTCCAACCACCCCCGGTTCGCCGATCTGCACATTCGCCACCTCATCCCCCAGCTTTCCAGTCTGCGGGTCCCGCGTTACAATCGCAACATTCGACGACGATTGATCGCCAATCGCAACCAAATCTCCCGCCTTGTTGATCACAAACGTCCGGGGCACCTTGCCGTAAGATGAGGTGAGCTCGTTCAAGGTGACCGTGTTATTCGAGGAATGGTCCAAATTTGCCATTGAGTCGTTGGGGGCGAAGCCTTGATCGCTCCGGATCGACACATACAACGAGTTGCCCGCTTGACGGATTTCCGATGGTGTAGCCCCGTCCGGTAGCTGGCCGTCGGTGTATGGCTCGAACGACTGAAACTCGTCAAAGCTGAGACAGCCATCGGACGTGTAGGAGACCGTGAATCCTTTAAAGTGTCCGTCCAGCTCATCGACAATATACAAGATCTGACTGTCTTGCTGCCGAGTCTTTAGTTGTCTGGTGAGTGTAGAGTGCTCCGTCTGCCAGAAGAGGCCGTGTCTCGGTCCGCTGCCCTCCGGATAAGTCAGATCAGGGCAGGCCCCGTCCAACTCACCAGTAGACTTGTCGATGGCATAGACGCGGACGAGATCCGCTCCCAAGTCCGGCACGAGTATGAATGATCCAGTCGGGTCTAGGAGGACTTGATGAGGATGAGGCGCATTCTGCTGCGGGTTCTGTTTGGTTTCTGAGAGGGTGTAGCGGAAAACCTGGAGATTTTCATCTCCATCATTCAAAGGAAGGCGGAAAGTGGACATCGCAGAACCACCACTGCAAACATTAGATCACAACCATCAAGCCGAGGAAGATACATACTAGTGAGCGATGGCTAGATATTGAGTGCCGTCATCACCGCTATAGAAGATACTGTTTACCCCGCCCCCCGGTGCCGCAGCAGTGGCTATCTCCGTGAGGGTGCCGTCCTGGTCGGCCGCCAGAGTGGTCAGAGATCCATTGGTGGACGCATCGCCAGACTCATCGGAGCAGTAAAGAATGCGCGAGGCCGAGTCGAAGGTAAGCCAGCTGGGCATCGAGCCACAAGTCTTGAGCGAGGAGGCGATGGACAGGGAGTAGGTGCCGTCGCTGTCCTGAAGGGAGAGGCTGTAGACGGACCCGTCATAGTGGGTAGCGTAGAGATTGGTTGCTGTCGCCAAAGACAGACATGTTGCCAGCCAACTGAGAGCTAGTTGTCGACCCATGTTGATTTTAGGTGGTGCTGCTGCATCGAGGGATGATGAGGTCAATAAATAGCCACCGCACGGGGCCAGGAATGGATCTGCATTCTGCGGGTGAATTATTCCAGGGACGGTAGGAGCGCTGCAGCTGCATGTCTACTGTCAGTAATTTACAGAAACTCTGTAGCCGAGGGTCGAAGCCTGTAGCTGAAGTACAGCATCTCCTCACTGTCTCAGTCTAGCCAGCCATTCTGTTTGATTCTCCAACCATTGAGGACAGACTGATGGAATCCCTTGCTTGAGTTTGAGACCACCTGCACATTACTGTGCTTGTAAAAGATGAAGCAAGTCTTCCCATACAAAGCTAGCATACCATGACTTAACTAAGGCGAGAGGAGTAAAGAACATCAACAGACATCGCTTGCATACACCTTCCTGATCGGGCATCTTATCACGCCTATCGCGGGACCAAACAGTGCAAACACCTGAACCCTGGATAATGCATATATTACTAAGCATACGTACCGGGAATCCGGAGATATCACGTGGCGATGTTCTCCGCGGTTCCTGGTATGTGGCTTACAAGCCAACATCGCCAGTAACTCACTCACTATACTGAGACCACACTCCAGCATGGGCTGGGTCGGGGTCGCCACACTCATTGCAACAGCATGCTTTTTGCTGTACCGCTATCCCCCCGGAACCTGGGCTCCTGAGCCCCCGGCATCCAAACCACTCCCGAAACCCGTCAAACCCCCTGCGACAGAGGAGATACCAGTCAAAGGCGAAGCAAAGCCCCCTAACGATGAAGATGATGCTGCGAGCGACACCCAGACCACTCCCAAGGCAGTTCCATCCAGCGCCCCTGCGCTGGAAGTACCCTCTTTTCGACTTGACGACAGCGCCGATCAATCCCGCCCCTCAGTACCGCAAATCCAGACCAGCGCTCAAACTCAAACCACGATGAAACCACCATCTCAACCCCTAACTCAGACGAAGATGGCAGACAGCACTCTTATGCCTCCCCCACCCCCACCACAGCAATCGAACCCCGCAAAGAGCTCCTCCCTTATGCCTCCTCCGGCCCCGCCGCGTCTCCGTCCGATCGCATCGCAGACTACTTCTGCGCCCTCCCTCGCATCGGGGCGATATCCCCCACGCCCGAATAATACCACGAGCTCGAGCTCGTTGCGCCCACCACCCTCCGCTGCTGCTTCCCTGCGCGCCCCGCCGAGCAGCGGCCTCTCGAGCAGCACGCTCGCCCCGACGAAGGTGACCAAACCATCTAGCTCTTCGAAACGAGCGGTCCTCGAACCGGGATACTCGCCGTTAGACTGGGCGGCCTTGACATCCAACCCAAACAACAAGTTGCGGGGAGAGAACCTCCCCCCGACACTGATCCGAGTAACGCCTTCGATGCTGAAAGCACAGAATGGCCGCAAGGGCATGGACGCGTGGACATCCTACCAGGGAAAAGTCTACAACATCACACCGTACCTCCCCTTTCACCCCGGCGGCCGGGGAGAGCTTCTCCGCGGCGCGGGCAAAGACTCAGGGAAATTATTCTTCGAGATCCACCCCTGGGTGAACTGGGACGCTATACTGGGAGAATGTCTCGTGGGGATACTCGTCTCCGAGAACGAGTCGGATAATAAGCTAGATGCGATGGATTAATCCCTGTATACATAGACTCATGCTGTTGATTCGTGTACCTATTCTACACTTTAGAAGATGATACCCTAGACGATACAAATAGAACAGAATCATATCGTTATACCCTACAATCCCATGATAAGAAAGAAGAAAGAAGATAAGATTACAACTCATCCCTCTTAACCCCCTGAATACCCACCAACTCCGTCTCAAAGATCAACGTCGCACCGCCAGGAATCGGCCCAATACCCCGATCGCCGTATCCCAGCTCAGGCGGAATCGTCAACGTGCGCTTCTCTCCAATGCACATGTCCTGGAGACCTTGGTCCCATCTACACAGAAACAAGCAGCCAATTAGCCTATTTCCTTTCCATATATACTCAATAGCACAGATAATGGAAAGATGGTAAATACATACCCCTTAATAACCCTCCCAGCCCCCAACTTAAACTTCAACGGAGTGCCGCGGTTATAACTAGCATCGAACTCGGATCCGTCCGACGCGAGCTTGCCCCGGTAGTGCATGGACACTGTATCTCCGACTTGGGTCTTGCGGGTGCATTCGACCGAGTGGGTGACTTCGATTCCGAGGTTGGAGGCGGACGCGAAGGTGGTGAGGGAGAGGGTGAGGAGGGTGGCGAGGGTTGGGAGGCGCATTTTGGTGGTGGTGTTATATATCTGAATTGATGGATGGGTTGATTTGTTGGAGGGGTGAGAGTGGTAAATTGGGAGGAGTAATTGAATTGGGGAGATGCGGATACGTATACTTAAGTAGGTGGGAGCGGAGGAGATGCGGAGGTGGTTTGGTTTGGTGGTACTTAGTGGTTGCCGGGCGGTTAGATAAGTAGGTAGGTTTGGTTAGATTAGCTGGGAAGGGTTGCTAGGGGTATGCCGAATTTATGTTGGTGTGGAAGAAGACGCTACCTAGTGTAGTTTTCTACTTTTAAGGATTAATGTGATTGATTAATCTAACTAGCAAAAAAGAAGATAATGCTGATTGTAAAAGAGGTGACGCGCTAGAAAAAAGAAAAACAAAAAAACAAAAAAGTGACTAGACTGGGGCTCGATCCCAGGACCTTATGCGTGTGAAGCATACGTGATAACCAACTACACCATCCAGCCAACTTGTTGTGATGGTTTTCTAGCAGTACTGAATTATGAATGAATAAACATGCCGCTGGCCCAAAGGATTACTTTCATTCTCTTCAACATTGCGTAATTTCCATCTACATTCCACAATAACATGTTTCAGGTGCGATGGTTTGTGAAGACTGTCATCATATACTGTCATAAATGGTATCTATATGTACAAAGAAGAGATCTATCTAATATTTTAAGCCCATTTACCCAGCAGGGCCATCAATAAAGCACCGAGACATAGTAGACCGAAAGCCGCCAGAACGATCTGGATCGGTGCCTTTCGCATCGACGTGCTGAACATGAACTCGTGGGCCAGTAGCTCCACCAGGGCCGTGTAAATGAGAATGCCGGCCGAGATCGAGTCAAAGACACCGCTGACGATCAACGTCGTGGCGCCATCAGACGCATAAGAGTCGCGCACGCCTAGACCGATCGCAATGGCAATAGGCGTGGAGATACCGTAGCCAAGACCAAGGAAATAGGGGGTCCATCGCTTGGAGTGTGGCCAAGGAACAGTAGCTAACCGAGATCCCAGACCCAGGCCTTCAAAGGTTTGGTGGAAGACAAGGACAACGTAGAGTGTCACAAATTCGGAGCCGGTGACCGCCAGGGTCAACCCAATGAAAACGGAGTGGAAGATGATTCCGAACTCTAAGATGAAGATGGAGGTCAATTGAGCTACGTACTCCTCCAGATCGGAGTGCTGCTTTCCGAGCTCGATATCATGGTGTTCGCGGGAATGACCGAGATGGTCCTCCCCCGGCATATGGGTCTTCATGTCAACCGACTCAGCAGGAGAGGAGGTAGTAGTATGCTCGATTTTCTCATGATGGTGATCATCCTCGTCGTGAGAATGGCCGTGGCCGAATCGAGCAAAGCGCATGACCATTAGCTCCACGAAGAACAGTACCACAATGGTCATTAGCACGATGCCCTCGACCCAAGAGTATTCTGTGATTGGGCCGGTAAGGCAGTCGTCGGTCAAAGCCTCTTCTGCAGGGGCAAGCAGGTGAATAAATGCGGTGGCAATGATGACACCGGAGCCAAAGTATTTGGCGATGAAGAAGGCGCACTTTGCAATCTTGGAGTCCTTGAAACTCCGGGCCATGACGGGAAAAAGAGCCCCGCATGTTGAACCGATGAGAATGACAAAGATAGACGAGATACGCAGGCCCATACGGCCATCATATCCGTTGCCCGTCTCACAAGCAGGTGTTGCATCTCTGGCAACTAGACTTTGAAGAGAATCCATCTTCCACCGTTGATTGTATCCGACCGGCAGTCCTCTGCAGACCGTCTGGACCAGCTTAGAATAGCACGGGCCTGTCCGAAGAAGATAGGGATGATCGAAACAACGTCTGACAGGTATCCGGTCCAATGGCGTGCAGGATCGTGTGACAGGAGGATAGCGGAAGTGTAGGCACGTGGAAGAAGAATGTCAACTGCAGTGATCGGTTGAGATTGCTGGAGGTTCGTCTGCAAGGTCCCCCCGCTCTTAAATTGGTTTCTCAAATGTGCGCCAAGTTGTTCAGTGTGAGAGTTGGGCGTCCCCAAGGTCCCTAAGGCTGGTCCACGTCAAAGGGTCCGGCGATGAACGGCGTTGAACCGGTGCTGAGGACCTTGGTGGCACTGGTGAGGGGTTGCACAAACGCGATCGCTGAGGCGTCGATTTCGATTTGAGTTAGACAAGAAACGATCTCAGCACTTGCCAGCGCGCAGCTCACCTGGACACAAGTGAGAAGTTCAATTGAGCAACACAACACAAAGCAAGAACAGGGGATGAATGCAGAGGCGTCTCCATGATGGCGGGCGACGGAGACTTCCAGTCCGTTCTGGGTAAAGTGCGAAGTTGCATCAGATGGGAACCTTGGGGGAAAGCGGCGGGTTCACCTCAAAGAGTTTTCGCTCGAAAGTGAGGACCTTGTGGACGAGGTCTTTCTTTTACTGATCTCTGATTGGCTCTGATGAACTATAGCGGGGAATTTTGACGCAATGGTTAGCGGCCCGGAACCTTGTTGATCCGATGCTGCTCATTTCCTACACCCCGATTGGTTGTTTTGGAGCGGTCAGAAGGGCGGAGGCATCATATCTTGGCAGAAACAAAAGTGGGATGAACACCTGCTCGATTAGGTAATGGTTATACCTTGAGTATCCATGCTGCAGCATCCATGCTGCAAACACAGGCCATACTATTGAGTAGTCTTCTATAACCAATAAAGCTGAAGCATAAATAAACTTTAGCGCACTGATCCGCCAAGGCCTGCAATGACAGTCATGATCTGGCAGACACATGAGTGACCGAGATGTCAGCATCAACCAGACCCCGTGCGCGTTAAGGGATTGCCAAGTCCAAGGGATGAGTATTATATCCAAGGAGGCTGTCATGCATCATGTCTATTGGAGCGGGAGCCACTGTTTCTGGCTGTCAGGGACCCAGGTATTCCGCTAGTGGCGGGGATGTAGTCAGGAATGGGACGTCCAGATAACCTTGATGTGAAGCATCGTGTGACCTTGCATCGAAGCTCCACTCAGCCACGCAAATTGGGCAGTGTACTTATCAGGCTCGACTGCCCTTTTTACAGAGTTCACGCCTCGTGACATTATGCTTACACACGGAAACCATCGCTAGTTCAATCTAACAATGGACCCAGGTTAGACGAAATATATCTTTCCATATCGAACGGCATAGTACTTCAGGGAAAGACCACAACCCAGCAAGAGCCACTAGTTCGGAAACGCTCTTTCTATCGGAATAGAAGATTTAAGTAATAAGTAATGAATGATAGATGATAAATAATAATATGGTGCCTAATGATACTATTCAAGGATGCCAATCCGGATCGCGATTGTTGTCACTCTCATCATCCTCTTTCTCTTCTTCTTCTTCTTCCTCTTCTTCGGCTTCTTCCTCTTCTTCGGCTTCGTCCTCCTCGGCCTCGGCCTCATCCCCGCTACCCCCTTGTCCCCCTTGTCCCCCATTATCGGCAACTGGTTGCCAGTGACCACCAGGCCTCGCGTAGACGATTCTTGCCCCCCTAGTGACCAAATGTCTTGGGCAATAATTGCCCACAGGTTGTCGCTGCCTTGGGCCCAGTCTGGTGCACCTCACGTTGGTGCCGAGTTGTGGGGGGCATTGCTTGAAGGGGCCAGGGGTTGTGCATCCGCACGAGTAGACGAGAATCTGATAGAAGCACCTTCATTGTATAAGATAATGTGAGGTGGTATGGATTGATTGCTCTACTTACATCATGGGAGAGAGTAGGACGTGAGTGATTATTTCGACTGTGCTGTCTATTGGACTATGGTATGCTTAATTCTAGAAAATATTTGTGCTATGAAGTACAAGCCTTGGTGCACCTTCCTCATTTGGCTGCTCATTTACATCGTGGTTTCCTGATTTAGCAAACTTCCGTCGTCCGACTTCTTCGTCGGAAACACTTTGGGTATCGCCTCCGCGGACGTCATGAGCAGACACTGGCTATCATAGAGGTATTAGTGCTGTTTTGGTCATCAACTATAATAAAACAAGCGAAAGTTTCGGACAAGCCACCTGGGACTTCCGGATTGAATACCGCCTTATGTCATAAGTGCGATACTTATGACATACGGTTTTAAATAGCCCATATACAGTTTGCATTCTGGCGGAAGGCTCAGGTCTTTTATAAGCTTGCTCTGGAAATATGAAAGCTATAAATCGTTCCTTCTACCACACAATCGACGCTAAGTCCTATCATGACAGGCCCAGCTGTCTCGTCTGCGGCTTTGTCTTTGCGAACGGGACCAGCGAGGACGATCATTACAGTTACGTGGATACGAGATACTATGTAGGAAGTAACCTCTGTCGCGCTGAGCTTCTAGAGGATTGGAGACCTTCTGAGAAGAAAAGATGGGGGAAGAAAACATGGTGGAACACTTCCCGCGCAGGTCAGCCACCCTGGTACTCACTAGATACCCTCAGCTGTTGACTGATTGGTCCAGTTCTATACCGCCCTGCAACAGGCACCTGCCGACTTTCTGGGGTCATCATGCATCCTCTGACAACCGGATTGGTTCCAATGAATGAGACAGATGGATATATTTGCGGTACTTGGTCGGGCTGGTTATCCCCCAAAGAACGACAAGCTTTCGTACGTCCGGACATTCTATGCCCAACCCAGGAGCCGGAGCCCGACGTTGAGTGGGTGGCTTACTTTGTTCACTCTCGCTGCTGGGAGCTACTTACTCACCACGACTTGGGGACGGTTGCGGAGAAGGACCTGGGCATAGTTCTCGACGCTCTCCGAGACAGACATAAGACTCTCCGAGGCAGACGTAAGAAAACCGGTTATCAACCTAGATCCTGGTATTGGATGTTGTGTCGGGAAGGTTAGGGTCCCCCCAGGTCCGACATTCGATGACGCTGACCTTGAATCTCTACCAGATCCTGTTCGTACAAAATGCGTTACAGAAGCCATTTGTCTAGCACTAAAACACGAAAAGCGAAGGAAATTGATGATGAAACGAAAGGGCCATTTGGTCACCCGAAAGGCACCACGTCTCAGACCCTGCGTTCTTCCGATGGAAATACTTTATATGATTCTTAGATATCTTCCATATCAGACGATTGCGAACGTGGAAAAAGGATTGCGCCTCAATCTCGGTAATAGGTTTTGGCGCACTTGGCTCTCTAGCCGAGTATTCTACGAAGTGAGGGATATTGCCATCGACGAGGTTAATTGGAAGCGCCTATCCATGTTGCTGGAACGACGACTCAAGAAGTCAAACGCTTTGGCCATCCGACGGTTTTTATTAGCCTCTCTGGATAATGTTATGAGGTTTGTTAACATGTAACTTGATGGGAAGGCCATCTATCACGAGTTTGAATAATAAATAATAATAAATAATGCGTCTGATAATACTATTCAAGGATGAAAGTCTGGGTCGCTCTTATTGTTATCTCATCTTCATCTTCATCATCTTTATTTCCATCATCTATTCGCTTTCTTCTTCTTCTTTCCCTCACCCTTATCATCTTCTTCTTTGGCTTCATCCTCCTCGGCCTCGCTCCCGTCCCCCCATGGTGCAGGACCAGACCCTGCGAGACAATCGAGTCCATTATCAGTTCGGCGATAGCGGTGAGATCATGAGCGTCGGTGTGGAGAGGGCCATCGAATCCGTGGCTTTTCATGTCCGCTTCGAACCAGTCTTAGGGGTGGAGGGCCTCTGCCTAGCCATGGTCATCATTAGAGCAGTTCGGTCGTGTATGAGAGGTTGCTGGAGAGACGATAAGTTAAACAACTCGAAAACCCCATGTCGCAGTAAATGCTCACAGCCTGTCGGTTTTTGAAAAGCCCAAGCCAAATCAATTGGCGAGTAAGGCAACGAATGTGCAATAACAGAAACAGAAACAAAAATTGATACCTCCATGACAGCCACGCGTATGCTCGTGACGTCCGTGACGTCCGCGGAGGCGATGCCCAGAGTGCTTCCAACGAAGAGGCCGGACGACAGAAGGGTGCCAAATCTGAAAAGCATGATGTATGAAGTGAGGAGCCAATTGAGAAAGGTGCAATAAGGCTCGCATTTTCTGTAGAACTGAGCGTACTGTAACTAAATACTAGGTAGCACAATCAGAACAAACTATCTCTTAACATACACTCTTGAAATATGAAGTGAAGCAATAGATTCATAACACCATATACTTTTATCTGTTGAGGCATTCACTCCAGCCAGGGTCAGCTGATCCTTCGCTTCTTCTTCCTGCGTGGTCTTCCAGCACCTTTTCCAACCACCAACCATCTTCTTGGGATCCAGATAGCTCAGCTTCATACCTTTGACCCTTCATCTTGTCATTATATATGATAAAGGTGCTTCTATCAGATCTTTGTCTATTCGTGCGGATGTACTACCCCTGATCCCTTCAAGCAATGCCCCCCCCCCACAACTCGGCACCAACGTGAGGTGCACCAGATTGGGTCCATGAATAGCCTCCCTAGGAGCCTAGGGAACACCCGCACAGCAGGGCCACTAGTAAAGGCCGGCTATATCGGGTATATGAATTCTACTACTACTACTACTACTACTACTACTACCAGATTGGGTCCAAGGCAGCGACAACCTGTGGGCAATTACTGCCCAAGACATCTGGTCACTAGGGGGGCAAGGATCGTCTACGCGGGACTGGATGGTCAATGGCAACCAGTTGCGGGTGATTTCAGTATGGGAGACGCCCCTGATGGCTGTGGACAAGTCCCACGTACCGTTCCCGAGGATATTCGTACAATCCTCGTCGACTTCATCACGAAGGAATACATTGGGACAATACCACGATCCAGACCGATACCGCAGTCGATAGTGTCCTCCGGGAGGAGACCTCCAATGAACTACGGGCGACAGGTGTTGTCACATAACTTCTCGATGGATCATCCAAGACGGTTGATGCAACGAAGGAAATTGTTGTCTCGGGCGCCGCGTACTGAAGTTCCGCCATTATGATGCGTGGATCCCGCGAGGAGCTGGTCCAATTTAACATCGACGGCAAGATTGACCTGCCTGGAGTGGGTAGGAGCCTGACGGACTATCTGGTTAGCTCCACCGTTGAATATATGCTCTATATTGCCTCTGACCTGAATGCAGATCATTTTTACGTTCTACGAGATCGAAAAGGAAGGCCAGACAAACTACTGGCATCCTACCACAAAAGCAACAGGGCCAAGGCCTACATGCAGTGAAAGGAGCAGACGTTCGGCTTGTTGTCAACATCCCTCTTCTGCTGTTTCGCATTTGCACTCATGGACGTGTGGTCGAAGGCCGACCCCAATAAGAAACGACCCGAGACAGCTTGGATGGGACTCTATGAAGCTTACACCACCCAGCCCAAAGTCGAATCTTCACGATCGAGTCTCAAGACGGCCCCAAGCTGTATTAAGGTTATTCTATTGGCCATATTTTGTATATAGTTACCTATCTATGCTTAACATTATTAGGGAAAAGTTATTTATTTCCGATGTCATCTATAACCAATCCCTTGACTGAAAATGAACATAGCCCGCGAAGCCCAACATCAATCAAAGCACGCATTTCCTCAACTCAAACAACCTCAAACTCCGCACTACTAGGCCCCGCCCCATTACAAGCCGTCAAATCCATCGGACAAGCACTCATAAACACCACACAATCCTGCTCGGCCCTCAGCACCACATAATCCCCGACCTTACTATCCGGCTCCAAAACCCTCAACCCATTACCACTAATCTCCACATTCATGAACAAATTCAACGGATCAGGCGTCCATCCACTCTCCAGCAACCCAGAAACATGTCCGAACGCCGGCTCAGCACATTGCTTCACAGCATCACGAAGATTCTGGGCACAGTTGTCGTGGTCCGCGGTACCTCCCAGTTCGAGATATCGTTCTGGAGAGCAAGCTGCGTAGAGAACGTCGTGTGTGCCCCGTGATGTGTCCTCGGTGATGGTCAAGATAGGGTTTCGGTTGTTGTCGACGAAGGATTCGTTAATTGAGGGAAGGAGCTTTTGTAGGGTGGGTCGGGTGTGGGCCATGGACATGTATCTAGGGACAGTGTTGGGTGTGGAGGGGATCGTGAAGGCCCAGGTGTCGATGACTTGGCTGCCCGAGGTGTTTATGATTTTGATTGATTGGCTGGGGTGGAGTCGTTGGAAGGCGAAGCTTCTGGCTGGGATGGTGGGCATTTTTGTATAGAGACTTTTTGGAAGATGGATTATGGTAGAGTATGTTTTAGTAGGAATCCCTAGTACGTATTAACATCTATATAAAGGGTAGAGCAGCTACCTCCCACGGGACAAGTGCTGGTGTTATATGCTCAACCCCTTGAGTTGCATTGATAAGCTGCGTGTCTCCAGAAGAAGATAAGGTGACGTCATTTCTCCGCGGAATCACTCACATTTTGGGCTGTCAGGCAGTATAACATTTCCTCTGCTGAAACCTGCATAACCCTTGTATATATTCGAGAAATTTTCGTTTCATTTTAGATGTGGTGTAGCTAGCTAGCTATCTAGTTAGTCCGGTGGAGCCTCCAGAATATAGGTGGGTCGTGTAGATTCCCCATCCTCATTAACCTAATCTAACCTACTTTGTATACATCCAAAGCAAACTAACCACCCGATCTCCGGGGTACTAAAACCCACAGACCCATCACTAGTAAATGCGGCATCTGCGACGCTGACATGCATGGATTCCCCCACCCCAACCCCTCCTCTACCCCAACTTGCATACCAGACAACGCATCACCATAACCCCAACTCCCCCTCCAACTCCCCCTCCACCCCCTCCACCCACCACCACAACAATGCCCACCAAAACCCTCCTCATCATCGGCATAACCGGCAACCAAGGACACTCCATCGCCACGCGGTTCCTCCACGACCCAACCTACCATATAATCGGGCTAACGCGGAACCCAAACTCCCCGACCGCCCAATCCCTCTCAGCGCAAGGCATCACCATCCTCGCCGCCGATCTCAACGACCCCACCGCCCTCATCCCCGCCTTCCGCGGCGCGAACCTCATCTTCAGCGTAACCAACTACTGGGAGCCATTCTTCCGCGAAGACTGTCGAAAACAGGCAGCGGAGCGGGGGATCTCATGTCGTCGGTACGCGTACGAGGTGGAATTGCAGCAGGGGAAGAACATTGCGGATGCGGCGGCGGCTACGGTGGATTCGCTGGATGAGAATGGGTTTGTGGTGTCGACGTTGAGTTATGCGGCGGAGTGTAGTGGGGGACGGTTTGGGGAGTTGTATCATTTTGATGCGAAGGCCGAGGTGTTTCCAAATTATGTGAGGGAGAGGTATCCCGCGTTGGTGGGGAAGATGTCGTGTGTCCAGACGGGGTTTTTTATGACCAGTTATAGGTTGGTTCCTGGGGCTTATTTTACTAAAGTGAGTGAGTGGGTGAGTAATCTTGGTTTGGGGTGTGGGTGTATGGGGTTATTGCTGATTTTTGGGTATTTTGGGTGGATTAGAAGATGACGGAGAATGGGGAGGTGTCGTTTGAGATGACTTTTACGACGGCGCCTGATGCGAGAGTTCCGCATTTGGATGTTAATGCGGATTTGGGGAACTTTGTTTATGCGGTTTCGAAGATGCCCCCTGGGAAGAGTTATATGGCTTGTGGGTCGTATTGTAGCTGGGCGGAGTATATGAGGATTTGGGGGAGGATTAATTCGGTCCCGGCAAGTTATCGACAGATTACTCTTGAGGAGCTGATGGAGAAGACTCCCGATCCGGAGTTTGGGTGTGAGGTAGGTGATATGTTTACTTATTCGACAGATCCGGGGTATGATGGCGGTGATAAGGAACTGCTGACTGCAGAAGACATACGCAATGTGAGTGTGTTGTGATGATATGGTATTTAACCCACGGCTAATCTCTACAGGCCGGGATAGAGTGTCCAATGACCAGTTTGGAGGAGTGGATTGAAAGAGAGGATTGGTCGGCTGTCCTGAATAGTGAATAGGTCCTGATGTATACATGTAGCTGGCCAAGAAACTCTGCATCACGACCGAGGTTCGGCCAATATAACCTGAGCGGCCTTAGCAGATTGGGAACGTCTAGTTGACTCTTGCACTTGAGTAGGCAGAGACTGCGCCACTGCATTTCGTATTTCCTCTTTGATAAGTGCAGCGAGGCTCACTTGCACGTCATTGACCAAGCCAGCGCGGATTGAATCAAGCTGGCCGGATAGGCTTGATTGCACATTGGCATGGACAGTACCTTGGACTTGCTTAGCAATCTCTGCCAGTGCGTCGCCCCCGAGCCTGGTCTCTCTGGACATTCCAGCCAATGTCAGGTCCTTCCAGCAAGCGGAGTCAATATCGCTCATACGTGGAATGCGGATTGTGCTCAGGTGCTTGACGGTACGTTGAAGCACAATAGAATCATGGTCCCATTTTTTCATCGTGGCAAGACGCATCACAGCGGAGTAGACTTCAAACGTGAGGTCTTCCACCTTGGCTCTGGTGTGATACGGTATTTCGCGGCCATCGTTTATAAGTCCGTGATACTGTGTACACTTGCTGCCGAACTGAATCAGGTCCTTAACATGGGACAGCAGATCTACTGTCGCCAGATATCCAGGCCTAAGACCAGCACGTTGTGGCCCAGATTCCGATTCGGGTAGGTTCTCATCGTCGAATCTTCCGCGCTGCACATCAAGGTCCATGGCAACTAAATCATTGAGGTCTGAAGGACTCAGCCCTTTGGTCGCATTCTTTGGCAGCCCAATAAAGAAAGCTTGAGGTATTTGGGGCGACTCGTTGGCAGAGGACTTCTGTGGCGATGGCGAGTCCTCGACGAGGTTTCTCATACATCCTGAAACCAATGTTCCTATGTTCTTCTTTGAGTTAGTCAATGAAAGAAACGGAGATAGGAATCTTCACCTACCTCAATAATGTGGTTGATCCCAGCCCAGAGCAACGCTTTGTACAGGAAGTCCTCACTTTCTAGTTCGTGTTTGTCCATGCGCATCCCACTTATGTACCTCTTGATGTCTTCCAATTGTTCAACAAATGGGACAGAGAATTGGTATGCTGCAGTCAAACTTGCCTGACAATTCTCCAGATTCCAGAAACAGGGCAACCGTCTCCACTTGTCCAATGCGGTAGCTAGTAGCCTCTGGCGCTGCGAAAGCTCCTTTGTAATGGACTTCTGTGGCAGAAACAACTTTCTATAGGCTGAAACGGTATCACTGTCAGTCTTCTCCATTCTTCTGTATGCTGTAGTCCAGGACTTGTGGGTTGGGGCTTTGTCTTTGGCGCCGCTACCCTTGAGAGCGGCGATAATACCCTTGGAGAGAGGCTTTGCGTTCCACGCAGCCTGGAGCGCTGTTCCAAATCTACCGACAACCTTATTTGGACTGGCACCCTGTTCAAGCAGCATCTTCACTGTTGATTCATGGCCAGCTGCTGATGCTGCCACAAGAGCAGTCCCAAAGAATCCAGCTATATGGTCGACTGCAATACCCCGGGAATAGTTACTTGCCTTTCCTCCACCTGAAAGTAGCAGGCTGATAATGGAGTTGTATCCGTTGTACGCTGCCACATGGAGAGGGTTACCCAAAATCCCATCTTCAGTTCCTGTTATTTTTGCTTTGGCGTTAAGTAGCATTTCAACGATTGAATCATGTCCTTGAGCGGAAGCCACATATAGTGCGGTTCCATGGGGACCTTTCTCGGCGTTCACATCGACATGTTTCAACAAGTCCGCAACAATCTGCTTATAGCCACGATAAACTGCCACTTGCAGTATTGTCTCCCCGTCAGAATTCCTTGCGCTCAAATTCTTGGGATCAGTTTGAATCAAGCCCTCGACGACCGGCCTGAGATTGAGTTTAAGCGCATAGTGGATTCTTGAGGCATGTCTCTGGCGTTTACTGTCGGTTTTCGTCCCACTTTTGTCCATTATAGGTTCACCCGCATCAAGGCAGTTCAGCCAATCATCGAATCTTTCAGACTGGAATAGTCCACGAATTCTCCCTTGAAGCATAGCACGTTCACTGGCCATGCCGTCTGCTTTGTCGAATAATTGGTAATGTTGAAACCAATACTCGGCAGCATAGCTCCGTAGCGTCAGTTCGAAACTGTTCACATTGGCCGAATCTCCCGCCCCCAATGGCAGCATCAGAATATCAAGACAGCGTTGGGTAATTTCAAAATGGGCTTGCTCCTCGGAACATAGAAATTGCGATATAAGACTGTCCTGACCTATGCGGACCTGGGTCTCCAAGTACTCTTTCGCCGAATAGTGGGCGAACCGAAGGACTTTATCACACTTCTTGCTCTTGCGGTTAATTGTCAAGGTTTGCGTGGACTGGCTCACCCATTGGCCTGTACATATTTCGTAAACCGCATCACTGTCATGAAGGCCAACTGCAGAGGCAATCTCATCTTGAGTGAGCGGTCGTAGCTGCCTCAGAAGCCATATAAACATTGCCCTCAAAAGCTTCCTGTCGACTTCGCTTACAGACCTCAAATGTTTCTCGTAAATGGCTACCATACTGGTCGGAACTTCGTTTAGCTTTGCCTCAATTTTCTTGGGGTCCTTTCGACACTCGCGTATTTCGTGGACCAATGATGTAGCCCAGAGAAAGTTCCTACCATTTGTTAGCCATAGTAATGAATATGCATAGCGGTCGGCGGGCACTGCACTTTTTAGCCCCCTCTATAAGCCGTGTCTGAATACGAGCCTTTAGGTAAACAGGGAGGTCGCTTATGCCATCACCATGCCGCATAGTAGTGTCAATGTAATTGCGAATGTCAGCTTCGAGTCCTTCCGCTACGTCAATCTCCACCAGGATGTCTTTCAGATGTCCCCGAAGACATTGTCGTATATCATCTTCATTCTTGCTGACAAGGAGAATGTGAAGGTTCGAAATTCCTGACTGAGCCAGTCGCTTTATGAGTTCGAGCAATTTATGACGTTCTCGGTCTTCTGACTCTTTCGGAACTTCGTCGAGGCCATCTAGTATTATAAAGACGTCCTTCTGTAGCTCAAGCACTGATAGGATGCTATGCAGATATTCGATGAGTGTCTTGGTGTCAGGATAGCGTGCGAACTTCCGGTCTTCTACCAAGGCACTGGAAATGTCTTCTGGGAAGCCCCCAAGGCTACTTCCCAACTGTCGTAGGACAAACCGCAATAACAGGTCGATGCGCGTCGTGTCTGTCTCATCGAAACGAAAGTACCACCGCAATAGTACCCGGTTTCTGTCTTTCTTGAACAGCGTTTCAAGTTGGTTGACGATGGTTGAACTGTAGAGAATTAGCCGGCTTAGAAGTAACCAGAGGGCACAAGGCGGGCGGTTCGCATACCATAAGGACGATTTTCCACATCCAGCTAGTTATTCTGTTAGTATATGCAATTCTGTTTCTGGATATTGTTCCATACATTCACCATACAGCCAAAGCAAGGATTGTGGAGAGTCCACCCAAGTTTTGTATTCTTGACGCTCAAGCAACCACCTCCCTGCTACCTCAGTCTCATCGCTGGATACAATGGCAGACCTTAGCTTCTTGTGTTTGCCATCACTGGCCGCAGCCATATCACTGGGGAACAGCCATTCAAGTAGCTGCGTCTGAATCTCCCCTTCATAAATCTCAGCCTCTGGGTCTTGCTACCGGAAACGACACTGTAACGTACCTGAAAGTGTCTTATCGATCTTCGCAATGCCCTTCATGATCATGGATGTACTCTTGGAAACATCTCCTAGAATTCTCTGGACCTCCTTGACTCGCTTCATCTCCTCTTCTTGGGCTGGTAGCATGTCAGCACGGCGTGCAACTTCCATGGTAGCTACAGTATTCCACTTACTTTCAAACATGAATTGCTGCTGCTCAGCCATTATTTGCCGAAACCACTTTTCCACCATCTCGTCGCTTCCCTGAATGGCACTTTGCAAGTCCTTCAGCGGCTCCTGGGTAAGTGATTTGAAACTCTGGATAATCCGGTCTAGGCAAAATAATCAGTATTGACAACGTTCATGGGGCAGGTACATCCTTGATACCTAATCTCTTCGATGTAACTGCCTGCTTCACTTTTGCAGAATACTGTAGTACACATATGTACACATTGACAATGGCATCCCCTAATTCGGCCGCATTGGAAATCTGGACTCGGTGATAAAGAGCCTCGATGCGAGAGTATCGAGCCAGGAGTACGGCCAGGTATTCGGAAGCTTCCCAAATGCGCTGCATCCGTTCCTGGTTGTTTTGGATAAGCTGCAAAAGTCAACCATATGTCCATCCTGTAAGAAACTAAGTCAATGATTACAAACCGTCAGACCAAAGGAAACCACCGCCCATGCAATAGACGCATAGCCTGTCGGATCAAATTTAACGACCACATCGCCCAACGCCTGAACGGTCATGACCGATTTCAAGATAGCACTTGCACGATCATAAGCATTCCCCTTCGTTTTTGACGGCCATCGCTCCTGATGAATGCGTAGTTTGCTTTTAGTCAGATTCATAACACCTTCTACGTACTCTTTGGGCAGTTTTCCCATCCGATTTATGTTCCTATCTTGCCACTTTTGAGTCAGACGCTTCCTATTCGCGTCGCCCACATCGACGGACATCCACGCCTCTTCCCATAGGTTCCGCTTAGGCTCGACCACGGCAGATTTTGGCTTCGCTGCTGCCACGCCATTGGACTTTGCCTGTACTGGCTTCGGCTTTGTAGGTTTCGAAGATGGCGTTTTCTTAGCCTTGGTGGTTGTGGCCGGCTTGGCCTTTACCCTCACCGGTGATGGTTTCTTAGGCGGGTGTGAAGTGTCATCTTGTGGTTTGACCATTTGGCTTATTGAGGAAGGGTTGGTTTTGTATTCTGTAATAGTTGATGTTTGATGCTAAGGGAAGAATAATGGCGAGTGAAGCTGTCATGATGGAAGATCGCGTTCTTGCGGGAGATTTGTACCCCGCGCGAGGCTCTGCAGAGGTCAAGCTGATGGGGCTGATACTGTTTCATAGTGGGAAGAGCTAATGCTGGTGCAGGATGGGGGGACAAAAACAAGTATCTTGATTGGAGGATTCGTATGCGTTGTCAGCTAGCTAGCCAGAAGAATACGAGGCGCCCGCTTGGCTTGGCCCTGCAGTGATACCTGCATGCTGTGGGTCACACCAAAGAAATGTGTTTGTGGGAAGTCGAGTGCAGAACGACTGTCACGCGGATTAGTGATAGGAGGAATATGGGAAGCCTATAATAAAGTCTGGAAATTACGGCAGGCGTGAAAGCGGCTCTAACCGCTAACCTTATCCCTGAAATCTGCAGGAAAATACTACGGGTCTTGCCTGAACTGAAATTCTTGAGACGGTTGGGAGCTCAGCGAACTTGAATTCATTCCAGTCAAAGAGGTTATCCTTCTTAAGATAAGTCGTTTGTTTATTTTCAAAATGAAAGTGACACTCGAGATACGCAACCATCATTCCAACATGATATGACAGCTTCATTCCACTCAGATACTTCCCCACTTCAAAGATCCTCTTTTCTTGAGAAACTAAAATGTGGGTTTTGACACAGTGATCCTACTGTGCCTCTACATACCACGGTAAGACAACATCCATAGTATTATAAAACTCCTCAGCCACTGCTCCCTCCAAGCTCCAGGCGGAGATCACCTCCATCCCAGGCCGATATCCCCACTGCGTATTGATCCTCAAATGGGCAATCCTGGCGCTCTTATCCCGACTGAACTCTAAAGACTCATTACTTTCTTCTCCCGTACGATAATTAAGAAGTGAGAGCCCCAAGATTTGTAGTCGCGGCATTCGCTGCGCTGCTGTGCCCATGGCCCGATAGAGAATACCAAGGTCGGCACTTTTGATGTATTCCCGCCGGTCAGAATACCTGTCCTTCGGCGGAGGGTTTGCCAGCGACTCCCGAACTGCAGCTTCACGGGTTAGTGGAGGATCAAGGCCAAGTAATGGGGACCCTGTCCTTGTGTTAGTCACAAGAGATGATTGCAATATACGTAACTCAAACGGCAGCATGTGAAAAGGCAATCTAGAAGTTGAATCAAGCGCAGCAACACTTACCATCTTCGTTGTATGGAGGCACATTGAGTACTAGAAGCCGTTCGAGTTTCGGCCAGTAAGGAGCATTGGTACTGTTTTCCGCCGATGGCCAAAAAAGAGCCTTGCTAATCCGGATATGACTCAAAGTGAGTGACTTTAGCCGCATACTCAGGTTATGAAGTCGGGTGGACAGATAATCCATCCCACTAAGCCCCACATAGGTCAGTCGATGGTTGCGAAGTTCGTCGTCATGTAAAAAAGGAGACCATTCTCGGTCGCGCATAACGGAAAGCTCAAGGCTCTCCACAGAACTTGGTACACAACGAATGAAGTCGATCATTTCTAGATTAAAAGCACGCCAGTTAGCCCGTATCAATGCTTGAAGACCATGAAAGGAAATAAGAGCATACCTTGTCTTAACAAGCGACGAATATCACCTACAGAAGGACCCATCCATATAAAATCTTGCAGTAATACATGCTTCACATTGGGGAGACGTTCAAAGATCAATCCAAATGATGATAACAAGACAGCATTTAACCATGTCCCCGTTACTCCAAGCGACGTGACGCATACTGGACTAGGTAAGGGTTCCAGGTGCTTTGCTTTCAGGCAGGATGGAAGTGCTTTTCGATGCTTGAACAGGATATCCCTTAAAGATGATGTGTACTCTGAATATCTGGGGTTGAAGGTTCCACAATGTGGATTGTGGTCGCTGAATACCAGTTCGAGCCCTGGATGCTGCTCTCCCCAACTGTGCAACGCCAGAAACAAGAAGCCGAGCGCTTTGTGGTACTCTTGATCATACCATTCATATAGATACTCATTAGTGTTTGCCCGATACATAAAATCAGTCACCTTTGGTAAGACAAAATATGGTTGCCAAAGGATATGTCGAATGTAATTTACCCTGGCACGTCGCCAGTCATTGCCTGTAGTGCACCTGGAAAGGTTCAACACGCTTAAGTGCCCTCTAATGCATAATCTCTTCCAAATAATTGGCTCCACAATCCCCTGCCATTGACGAGAAATAACAGAGTATTGGGATAGCCTTTGTGAACGCCAAGCCGGTGGCACATCGTAATAAGTGGCTCCGGGAACACGTTTTGGACGATGTTTGTTCCCAGAGGTATTCTCAAGCAGATAATTAAAGATGAGACTGATTATCTCGCTGGGAAGAGGCGTCATGGTTCTGAGCTGGCAGTGGTGCTGAAGTGGTTTCTGACCTTGCTGATGTCACGCTGGGATAATTATCTGGGTAAATCAACAAAAGCCTTACATATAGAGATATAGAGATATAGAGAACTGTAAATTGCGCACACTTAGAGTAATAATCTTTCCTCATGGGAGAGGATGCAAGAGTCAGAAGATATTATATACGTTATCTGGGAGCGTGACGGCTTCCATCTAACTATGATAGTTGGAGATAGTATCACTTATCTTCATTCTCGTTGTCCCTGGAAAATATAGGTAGCTTCCATATTACCCAAGAATTAAAGACGTATATGGAATGCACCACCTGTTTATCCCCTTCACTACCACAAGTAGACTTTTCAAAAATAGTTGCGAGAAATATATCCAACCATATTTGGTGCATATAATGAAGATATCTGAACTTTCCCCTTGAAATGGCAAGAATGGTTGACATTGAAAGCGAAGGAAACCGGGATATCCATTGACTTACCCCCTGTCGACTTAGTGGTGCTCACGCCTCTGAAATTCCCGCAGTTACTATTGACTGCTGCATTGCATATCTACGTTTTGTTGGGACAATGTAGGAGCCTTTTAATGGACCACTTAGCTCACGTAAGACAGGGTCGCTAGTTAATTTATCCATTTCCTACTTACAGTAAAGCCACTGTTTATCTTAGAATCGTGATGTATTGATCGAACAGAACTCAATCAATCAATAAATCACGTGTACGAACAAGAATCATAGTATTCTTGTCGAGCGATAATTTAGATAAAGCCACAATCACTCAGTCGAAATAGCAACGAGGCTGAGGCTGGATAGCGAGTGGCCCAACCCATCAAAACGCTATCCGGCTCTTACTGCGGGTCCATAATCCTTCGAACAAGGGTAATAGATGACAGCTTGCAGGAGACATAAGCCAATTTGTTGGTGCCTAACCCATGATAACTGATGGAAAGTCACGTATAAATCAGGTCTCCCCGATACGTGTCATTTCCTGATTATTATACTTGCCAAAAATTCCTTACCATGGCATCGGATAGTCCCTTTTGGGGCCTATCGACTTCACATGCTAAGTTAGTATGAAGGCTACGATCAAGTCCAAGCTAACGGTGCAAAGTTTTTGCGAGGAGGTAATTGGTTTATTTGAGAGCACATAATAATCCCGTGTCTATCCTTCCTAACAAGAACATCATATAGGACTACGTGGTGACCAGATACGTCGCCGAATTCATCAATACCCTAACCAATGTTGTGTACAGTATGTCGCGACCTGCCGCTTCTACAAACAAAACTAATAAAGGACGCAGTATTCTACGCAATATACGGCATCAACCATCTTCGTCGACAATCGAATAAGGATGTCTTCCGCGCCCTTCCCTACTGGGGCTTGATAGGCGTTGGTATCGCTTCTGCAGCTTTTCACATGAACCTCAAGTACCATACTCAGATGAGTAAGTTCATTTGCTACCTTCCATTGCTAGCCACGTAGTATTGCTCACTAAATCCATTTGGAACAGTGGACGATGTATCCATGCATCTCGCCACAACCCCGGTTCTCCACCGCATCATGACAGTGAACACCAGTCGCAGAACCTCGATTATCCTAGCCTTTCTGCTGGGTGCAGCTCTTATAGGACTCATAATACACCATGCACTGACAGATGAGCTCATCTTACATTCCGTCACGTTCGTGGTCAGCGTGACGATCATTGGAGTCCGGACAATGCAGTTGATCACCACGCGAACGCCAAAGGATTCTCTCGCTCGACGCCAGATCTGGGGTATGGTAAGATTTGGAGCTGGTAAGACTAAGCATCTACCAACCATTTCCATGTTTTCAGCACACTGACTGCCAAAGCTATATTTGAGCTGGGATTCCTCGTCTGGCTAGTTGATGGGTGGATTTGCGAATGGCTGAGGAGCTGGCGGGCGACTATTGGCCTGCCGTGGGCTTTTCTGCTGGAACTACATGGGTGGTATGCAGATTCATGCTTTCTTCCAAGGGTCCGAGCTAATAATTGGTATGAAACAGGTGGCATATCTGCACTGGAGTTGGCGCTTACATATTCATCGCAGTGATTGATCACCTAGTGTCGGGTGAAGATGTTGGAGCCATTGAGGGCTCATTCGCCTGGCCCGCACCTTGGGCTTCTCGTTCTATTTTTGTGGGTAAGTGTTCAGCCGTGGGTGTCACGTCGGATTTAAAGACAGACTGAGGCGAGAACACTACAAGGTGGATTTGAGGCGGGAGATGGATGGGGACAACGTTAGTTGGGGTATGACCGAGCATCAGATATGCTGCGAAGCCAAGCTTCAAGCTCACATTCTTCAACCACTTAAGCTATGATGGAATCCGTGAACCATGAGCATTCTGTACAGTCATAGCAATGATTGATGAATCCGAAATAGGAGATAAGCTTGTACCGGAATAATATTCAGCCAATGAAGAAGCCAAACTTAGTCACACACGTCCCACCCAGCCAATCGGCAATACGGCATTGAGTCAGTTGTAAGCGATCGGACCCCCGCAATGCACCCCACCGGCAATTGCCCTTGCCGATGCACCCCGCCTTCCGGTCTCAAAAGCTTCGAACTCTTGCCTGCCAGAAATCTCAATCCTCTTATCCAGAGTAATTTTGGACAGATTTGGAAGAACAAGCTCAGACGCAATGGCCAACCAGCTACACAGTGCCCCGCCCTTCCGGGCCGAACATATGGGCTCCTTGCTGCGTCCCGACAACCTGCTTGCGGTGCGTGAGAAGATCCGCGATACCGGTATCTCGGAGGAGGAGGCTGGTCTGCAGGCCGTTGAGGAGGAGACTGTTCGTGATGTTGTCAAGCTCCAGCGGGATCTGGGCTACAAGGCTGTCACTTCTGGTGAATTCAACCGGACCCGTTTCTGGGGACAGATGTGGGATGAGTTCGAGGGTATGGTTCATCGTTCTGATTCTGTTGCCGTCGACCATATCACTGATAAATGTATCAGGCACCATCCGTCTTCAGGATGCTGAAGCCTCTATGTTCAGACTCTACCACCCCGACGTGGTCAGTCTGATTGAGAAGGACCGCAAGGTCATGCCCGGTGACTCGGTCATCGCTGGAACCAAGCTTTCCTGGAGCCCCGAAAAGTCGGTCTCGAACCTTCACGAACTGAAGCTGGTTCAGCAGGCCCTGCCTGAGAGTGAATGGCACACCATCAAGCTGACCATGATCACTCCCGCCTGGTTCCACATGCGCTACAAGCAGGGCAAGGCTTACACTCCCGAGGCCTACGCCAACGACGAGGAGTACTTCCAGGACGTCGCAAAGGTGTACCAGGCCGAGCTTGACGCCTTGTACAAGGCTGGACTGAGAAACGTCCAGTTCGATGACCCGGGTATGGCCTACTTCTGCTCCAAGGCCTTCCGTCAGGGCTGGGAAGAAGACAAGGACAACATCGGCACTGTCGAAGATCTGCTTGACGCCTACATCAAGCTGTACAACGACTCAATCAGCAAAATCCCTGCTGACATGCACACCGGTATTCACCTTTGCCGCGGTAACTTCATCGGAGGCAGACACTTTGCGGAGGGATCTTATGACATCATCGCCAAGAAGCTGTTCGAGAACCTGAACGTCAACACATTCTACCTTGAGTATGACACCGAGCGTGCAGGTGGCTTTGAGCCCCTCAAGTTCTTGCCCAAGAACAAGAACGTTGTTGTCGGTGTCATTAGCACCAAGCTTCGCGAGCTGGAGGACAAGGAGGCGATGAAGGAGCGGATCTACAAGGCCGCCGACTTCGTTAGCGCTGGTAGTGGTGAGACTCGCGAGGAGGCCCTTAAGCGGATCTGCGTCAGCCCTCAGTGCGGTTTCAGTACCCACGAGAGCGGATACCCTCTGAGCTTGGAGGACGAGAAGAAGAAGCTGGGTCTGACCAGGCAGATCGCTGATGAGATCTGGGGACAACCTTAAGCTTCTCAAAGCAGTGACTGGGGCGGTGCTTTCCGGCCTCTTAATAGAGAAGGAAATGTGATGATGTGAAATGAGTTATGTATTTAACAGACGTGTCATATTAGCACGTGGCAAGGTGATGTACATATGGGAGTGGTGAGGGGTGCATCGGTAGGCGCAATTTGATGAAATTAGGCTGAGAAGCATGCGTATATGTAGTGACATGACACACCTTCACTAGTAGAGATGAAACACAACTTGATCGAGACTTACTACCATTGCAAAGCGAGCACGCCCGATACCGCATTATTGTTCCCCAGGATACATACTCGTAAGAACTATGCAAAAGCAAAAATATGACCTGTAATATATTCACCGCTACCACCCCCAAATGGCATCAATTACAGCACGTATCCAAACTAGTTTTGGCCACGTTTAATTCTCATCGCTCAGGATTAAAGGCTGGGACTTACTATTCTTCGTCACCAACCAAGACAAGACCCTTGTTTGACGCATTTCCTAACTAGGATCCAAGCTCCACGCCCGTGCAGTAGCCAGACCACAACACGATGTTTGACGTGGAAGGAAAGGTAAGCGCGTCTCTTTCTTTGAATTCCAACTTCCTGTGGGCTACTGAACATAGACCAGTATGTCCTTGTGGCAGGTGGCTCCAAGGGTCTCGGGAGGGAACTCTCCTTGTCGCTGGTAAAGAGAGGTATGTTGAAGAAGGATTCCATGCCATCGCATGCGTACGGCAGGCACTGACCCACGATCCACTACCAGGAGCTCATGTGACAGCAATCGCACGCTCTGAGAATGATCTGGACAAACTCAAGGTGGATATGGACGCTGTGCGCGTACACGAAGACCAAGTCATCAGTATCCAGCGATTGGACTTGACCAATAGCGATGAGGTCAGTGCAAAAGATATCTCGGCATCACAGAAAGAATACGTTGCTAACCAGCATACCTTTGATTAGGTATCTGGATTCATCAACGGGTTTGAAAAATGCATAACTGCCCTCTTCTGCATCGCAGGTGGCGCCGGCGAGGAAGTGGGCCACTTCGTGGACATCTCCGCGACATCGATTCAGAGCTGCATGGAGCGGAATTACCTCACAGCGGCGTTCATCTCTCAGGCTGTCATGAAGGTTTGGGCCAGTGAGCTGAAACTGGAAAAGGAGCGCACTGAAGTTCAGCAATCACGCCACCTTATCTTCACAGCGTCCACGGCGGGTATAGTTGCAGTTCCAGGGTACGCCGCATATTCACCATCGAAGGCGGCTGTCCGCTCATTAGCCGATAGTTTGAGACAGGAGAGTCTCATGTATTCTCCTGCTGGATCTATACAGGTTCATTGCAGCTTTCCCAAGATATTCATGACGGAGAGGATCAACGTACAACAAGCGCGGAAGCCGCGGATATGTAAAGAGATTGATGGCACTGCCGTTAAAATCGGAGGGTTGACGGTCGAGGATGTGGCTCGGCAGATCCTTGCAGGGCTTGATAAGGGATGCTACATGATCCCGACGGATTTGCAGACGCGGTTTCTACTGAATAATATGCGTGGGCCTAGTCCGCGGGACAATTCCTTGGTTGACTGGTTGCTTAGTTGGGCTGCTTTATTGATTTATCCCGTTGTGGCTACGATTGTGGATTGGAAGGTAATGAGGTACGGCAGACAGCGGCGTGAGTGATGCCTCGTATGATGGAGATGCTGCTGTTCCATTCTTTTGACTCATATAGGAAGACATGATATCGCAAAGTCAATGCAATTAATTAAAATTAATATGATACTATCGCTAGTACAGTGGCCTCCGCATTTACGTCACGATATGGGAAAAAACCACCCAGAGGATGGAGAAAAACCCATATTAAGGCCCATAGATAACCAGAAGAAATTCAAGGATTTCTGGACTGCCTGCTATTTAGCACCCTCCCTTCTGAAAAAAAAATCTAGGAGCAGATAATAGAGGCGGCAGTAGTTGCAACTTCCGGTGAGCATCCGGGTGGGGGGTTGGCCTCGAAATCAGCTACATATAAACCAAAGGTACACAAAACTGGTCCACCGCATTGGGGAACACTATAAAATGAGATATAAAGTCAGAATACATTCTCTGAAACGTTCGGAATGTGGAGTTGCTTGTACCCATATAGATTGCAGGCATGGGGAGGAGTGGTTTCCGCTGAGCCAAGATGGTGGAAGCTGTGGAAATACCATCAGTATAAAGCTCATCTGCAGAGATGATAGATTGAGAAGCATACTGGTTCAGGTCCAGATCGTGGCAATTGGTGTCGAGGATATTCTGTTGGGGACCTCCTCGATCTGGTTCACTCCAAAGGGAAGCCTGATTTAAATGGTTGCGTCAGATCTGAGTATGGCAGCAACCTTCACAGATATGAACTTACATGAATGGTAGTATCAACCTGGGGGGCTGCCATGGCCAAAATTGGCATCAAGGTGGTAACGGCAATGAAGAGCTTGGAAAACATTTTGCTGTTTTGTTCACCTTGGAATTTCTGTTTGGAAGTTGCACAATTGAGACAGAAGATACAACGGAGAGGATGACTTGTTAACTGGAGAATTGCCCTGTATAGAGGAAGAGAACCGCTTATTATATTTTTATCTGAAGGAGTGCTCTCCAAGAGTCAACAATTGTGTACACCGGGAGATGTGTACGTGGTTGCACTCTGGGATACTTGTACAACATGCCAGCTAGTCTGCGTCATATTCGAGCGCGTAGCCTTTCACTTTCTAAATGCTCGTATAGGAAGTATAGCAGAACACATCTCTGTCTAGATGTAGGTTGCACGAGAGCGTACCTTCAGCCAGCCTCATGCATTCTTCTGTCTTTCAGGGATGAAATTATTGGATTGGTAACTTACTCTTCCCTCATGTCACGAGGGCAGCCTCGATATGCATTCCGAGTAACCCATCCGCTTCGCAATGGAGGCATATCTGGTAGCTATGAGCTGTACACACCGTGCATTATAATGTTGATATTCAGGAACGGCTCCATAGTGGGGCTAGGAGTGAAAGCTTTGGTAACAAGCATGTGAACTTGAGTCTTGAGGCATTATTGATAATATTTTCGGACTCTATGCTTGGTAGCATCTAGAAAGGATTGCATGAGACTAAAAACTAACAGTGGAACTACCAGTATATACCTACTTGTCGTTGTCTTTCTTTGCAATTGAAGATGAGGCAATATATCTGTTCATTTTGTTGTTCGTGAACGGTAAACTGATTCCATGATGATGTGGTTGTCATTTTTGGTCAGCTAAAATGAATTCTAGAGCGGAATAGTACCCATACAACAATTAGAAAGATTTGAGCTATTTGGGACTGCTAAGCAGCTCAGACCTATGCGGCCTAGCCACCCCTGTCCATAGCGGCACTAGTTAAGTGGCAGATCGGCACTACGGAACGGGATGTCCTCCTGCTTTTATTGAGGGCACAACAACCAACGTACAACCCTCCTTTGAACTATCCGCTTCCAGAAATGTATGCTTTTCTGCACTAGTATCATCTTCCAGTAGAGTTATCTCAGATTCCATATCTGGAGGGGCTGCATTTCTCACTATCAGCCTATCCTCCAACTACCACTTCATGATAGGGACAGCGACTTTGCGCATTTGGTCCCAAAATCTCCTGTTGCTCCTTGTCATCTGGATACTATGGCGAAAATGCCAGTGGCCTAATTACTTTTCTCCACTGCGGCACTTGCCATCCCCTCATAGTGGGACCTGGGGAATGACACAATGTCTGCGACTCTATCGAAACCCCGCGGAAAACCCCAGTGTGACTGGTATGTGGAGTAGTCCCTGTCCTCAAGAATACTTCGGAGTCCTCTCTAGTCCCCTCCCCGCATTTTCGCTTTCTCCGGTTGGTGCTGATCTCTGACGGAATGTACAGGGTCAATCACATTCCAAACGATGGTTTGATACGCTACCGTACTTTGCTGAACTCCGACCGACTGTTGGTGACTTCTCCTGAGGCCCTCGCTGAAGTTTTGACTACGAAATGCTATGACTTCAGGAAGCCCAAGTGGCTGGTCGGTGAGCTGAAGCATGTACTCGGATCTGGGCTCTTGTTAGCAGAGGGAAATGACCACCATTTTCAGAGAAAGATCCTCGCACCAGCCTTCTCATTCCGTCATATCAAGAATTTGTACGGAGTCTTCTGGGACAAGTTGCACGAATTAGTAAATGCGATGACAGTCCACCTGTCATGCAAGGAGAAGGAGCAGCAGATCACTCGACTTGCGTGTGACAAGTTACATCCCAGCACCGACGTGCTCGATATTGCAGATTGGGCCAATCGAGCAACGTTAGACATGATTGGGATTGCAGGTATGGGTCGAGATTTTGGGGCAATCCACAACCCAAACGCGGACTTGATTCGTGCATATAAACTGATTTTTCAACCTTCAAAAAGCGTCATGTTTTTTGGCCATCTTGCGTTTTCAGTTGCCTGATTGGTTGGTCAATCGTCTGCCCTTTCGACGGAACAAGGAAATACAGAGAGCCGTCCGCACGATTCGGGGCGTGTGTGCCGAGTTGATTCACCAGAAGTCCAAATCCATTTCAGATAATAGCAACCCCGAGCATCGGGATATACTCAGCGTCACCCTCCAGAACGGCGGCTTCAGCGAAGAGGGCCATCTTGCTGGCTGCCTTAGTGGGACGATTCGAATTTCGATTGGAGGATGACCGGCTTCTGGACGAGAGTCACTTGAAGGTAACTCGCACAGTGACTTCCAGGCCCGCTAATGGGCATCTCGTTAAGGTAACCACCTTTGATAGGCTGTGCTAGAGGTACTAGTCTTGCATCTTGGGCCACCAATGTTTAGCTACGCTTGGGCCCCAGACACATTGTAGACCACCCTAGGTACTAGAACTATTGCTATCGTAACCCGCACGAAGATGATTGTGTAGCACGAAGATTGACAGCCATCGAAGCATTGGCATTTTATTTGACTGCATATTGAAAGTTAATTTGAGAAAACCAGATTGACACAGACTAGTCCAGAACTAATAGGTAATGCCTACTATCTTCCTGATCTGCGCCTTTGACGGGCCTTCATACCCATTACGCACCCCCTTCCGCTCTCACAATCTGTGAAACGAACTTCTTCTTCAGCGCCTCGATTATCAGCATCCCCAAAGTAGCAATGGATCCCGCATTCAAGATCTCCAATGTGCTGATCTCAATGCCGCCCAGACCTCTCTTCATCCAGTTCCTGATCTCGATAGTGACAAGGGAATCAACGCCCAGCGCGGATGGTGATACGCCCACATCTAGATCCTCCAATGGCTGTAGCATGAAAGTATAGATCTTGACAGCCAATTCATGTGTTATTAGTTCCACTGAAGCAGGGTCATTAAGCACTGTTTCCGGATCTGCTTCTACGGACGTTAGGAAACTTTTGAGCGCGTCGGTCTCTCTGTTTCCACCACTGCTATTGGCTGGTGCCTCATTGTATATGTTCTGAAAGACTCCCATGCGAGGGTCCTTTCTCCACACTATACGATTGGTTGGATCGGAGAGAAGCTTGTTGCAGCGTAGCCCGATTGTTAATGATCCATCCTCCATTGGATCCACTGCGGATTTGACAATGGCCCAACTGAGTGAATCCAAGAGGTCTTTCTCCCTGAGGAAGTACCCGTCCGCAGCGCGAAGAGTATCTGCTTTGTCACTGTTTTTAGCTAGATAGCCAATGTCGTCCATGAGACCGATGTGTAAGACTGAGGCGGGGAGACCTAGACTCCTGCGGTACTGGACGAAGGCGTTGAGGAATGTATTGGCTGCGGCGTAGTTTGCTTGGCCTGGTGCACCGAAGGACCCGCTAATGGATCCAGCAACGAAGAAGTCCAGAACTTCCGGCATCGCATGGTGTAGATTCCATGTTCCTTGAACTTTTGGTTCAATTGCGGCGGTCCAGTCTGAGAGATCCATTTCCATGAATGGCTTGTCTTGAAGTACCATTGACAGTTGGAAGACCCCCTTGATTGGTTTCTTTGCGACTTGGGTGATGTTCATAACGTCTTCTTTATTTATGACACTGCCTTGAATGGTTTGGACATTGCAACTCTGACATTCTAGCTCTTCAATAAATCGTAGGTCCTGTTCTGATGTTCCGGCCGATCGGGAGAAGAAGATGAGGTGTCTGGCGCCTCTCTCGACTAGCCAGGTCGCTATTGCTCGGCCCAGACCGCCCATCCCGCCAACGAGTAAATACGAGGCATCGGCCCTTAGAGTCAGGTTCGGAATAGTCGCAGCTAGTGGCAAGTCCTGTTCTCTTTCTGGAAATGTCACGATGATCTTCCCCATGTGCGTGCCTTTCTGCATATAACGGAAGCTGTCCTCAATCTGAACGGCAGGGAAGACTGTCATGGGTGAAATAGGCTTGATGTCTCCAGATTCGAGCATTTGAAGGGTACGGACAAGTAGCCTGTATCATTATGTTAATGGCGTGGCTTAGTGCACCGAAAGTGGAACATACCGGTGACGCTTCGAAGTGTCAAGTCCATTCAAATCGATACCAATAAAGCTTCTATTTGCCTCGAAGAGACCCATGTTCAACTGGGCCTTTCCAACAATGTCTTCCTTTCCTATTTCAAGCATTTTACCACATGGAGCTACGCATTGCCAGGAGGCATGTAGAAGCTCCCCCGACAAGCTGTTGAGCACCAGGTCGACACCACGTCCTTCAGTAGCAGCAAGGAGATCCTCTCGGAAGGAGGTGTCACGAGAATTGAATATATGACTGCGAGGGATACTGAAGGCTTCTGTAAGATAACGGGCCTTTTCCTCGTTTCCGACAGTTGTATAAACCTGCACATTGTTAGACACGAACTCAATTAGACTTGAAGTATTACTGAAAAGGGAAATGGCTCACCTGGACTCTACCAATGCTCTGGCAGATGTTCAAGGCTGCGATCCCAATGCCTCCACATGCGGAGTGAATCAGCACTGACTGGCCGCTCTGTAGACCACCGATGTCTAGAAGCGAGTGGATGACAGTAGCATAGACGGCAGGCAGAGTGGCAGCTTCCTCATATGAGATGTTTTGCGGGATCTTGGCGCATGTCGTAGCTGAAATCGTGTTACGGGTTGCAAAGCAATTTTTGTTGAGGTAAATAACTCGGTCGCCAATGTGAAGGTCGGTTACTCCAGTACCTACGTCTGTTACCACACCGGAGCCTTCCAGCCCAATACTTAATTCTTTATCTTCAAGAACTCCCATGGCAAGAAGCACATCCTTGAATTTTGGCTTAGTATTTCCCGAGGGTGATGGGGTCAGGAGATTACGGGGGTTCCTACTCTAAAGTTCAGGCCTGCGCAACGCGGCTGAATGACCACTTCACCGTGCTCAGGTTCTCTTGTTGTCAAAGGGGTCCATTGTAGAGTTTGCAATAGTCCGGGGCGCACGATGGCCAACTTAGCAGCGCAAGGCTTGGATGCCGTGATTGCCAGGTCGTCGGCCACTGAGGCCGGATAATATCGTCCCACTAGAATGGTCCCATTACGGATGAAGAACTCGCTATCTGCATCGAGGGATCCCAGTGAACCATGGCTGTTAAGGTTTTCGAATATCTTCGCAATCAGTAGGCCGAGTGGATCTTTGGGCCAATTTGATTCCAGTGTTGCGAATGAGACAGAGTTCTCTGCTCGTAGCGTTCGAGCGAGGCCAAGGGTGAGGCCAAACTCGGGTGATGAACTTACTTCATATTGGGCCGCCGGAATGAGCCACAGTATCTTGCTGTTCCCTTGTCTAACCACCATTCTCTGGAAGGCTATCAGATCTTCGTGGGATATGTTCGCGAAGAGCGGTGCTTCGAGCTCCAAAACTGAGATAATGTCTTGATCCGGTGGAGGCCCATCTTGAAGTGTGCTCAAGTCGACCTGATATCCACGGATCGTTAGCGTATCTAGGAGATGCTCAATATCCTGTCCGACATTGTGAAGTAGAGTCACGCGATGAATATTAGGTAGGAGTTGTGCAGGCCGATAGACCATATTGACGTTGATGTGATATGGGCGAGGGCCGTCGAAGACTTCGGCAGCCTTCGAGTACCCTGCCCGTTTCAGAGCGTCTTCCCACTTGTGGGGAGGCATGAACGGCTCATCAACTCTCCCATCATTCTCGCCCAGCCACCATCCTGGCAATATTCCCATAATTCTTTGTCCAATTGGTCAACGTGGACTATGAAATAAGAGGAGCTTAGTATAAAGGTTGGAATATGAGACTTACAGGCTCGTAGCCCTTATCGTTGGGCATAATTCTTGCAGAAATAGGTAACCTCGGGGAGCAAGCAGCTTTCGCACGTTCACCAGAGTGTCGTGGATTATGGGAGTGGCATGTAGAACATTGCTTGCAATGATCAAATCGTATGATTTGGCCTCAAAACCTTGTTCGATTGGGTCTTTCGTGATGTCAAGCATCTTGAATTCCAGTCCTTGATATTCTTTGAACCTCTCCTGCGCCGCGGGAAAGAATCCAGCGGAAATATCAGTAAAGGTGTACAGCGAGTACAGGCGGTCACTCCAGGCCAGAGGATGTGGTTAGACCTCGCAGGGCCGTTGCCGTGACGCTTCCGGTGCCAGCCCCAATCTCGAGCACCCTCAAGGTGGGATTTGTATGGCCCGCAGAAGCGAAGAACTTGACTGAGTTTGTTCTAGACTCGGCGAAATCATAATACTTGCCAAGTCCGTTGTCTGCTTGGAGTAATTCAAGACTGTCCACTTGCCCCTGGGTGAGAGCAATGCAATTATCTAGAATCCTGGTGATGAGCTCGGCTACGATTCCAGCGTCGGTTTGCGACACGAAGTATTTCAACTCGTGAATCAATGCGAGCCGGGCATCAGTGCTGTGAAACAACATCTCCTCTGCATTTGGAAGCAAATCGTACTTGTTGTTCCATGCCCTAACTATTTGGAGCCCAATCCACGAGCGGAACTTCTGTAGGTGCTTGATGTCACAGTCCAGATGGAATGTCCGATGGCCTATCTCAACCATACACAGAAGTGCCAGTTTTTCCAGTCGTTCAAGGTTTGTTGAGCCTTTTCTTGAGCCCTCACTGGTTTTGATCATGAAATGTATCATGTTCAGTTGAATGTGGGGCTTCCAGTGTAATTTAGCTGCCCCGATCGTATCAGGCTTGTCCGCTATTGAATTTCTTTCCAAAGGGGAATATCTGACTCCCGCTAGAGACAGAAAAATGCCTTTTTCGGACTTCGCTACCACTTTTCCGGAAATCGCACTGGTAGAGCTAGTTGTGGCAGCAGCATCGACTACCGCATCCGTGAGACTCCTGCTGCTACTGATATAGATTTGCTCAATCCTTGTTGGAACACATAAATGGGATATGCGACGGTAAATACCGTCACAACTTGCTGGAACCAACAGTTGCAGACAGTGATCTATGGTTGTTGGGTGAACGACGTAGGGTGATTCAGATACCGTAGTTGCCACTAGCCTGGCAGAAGCCACGTTCTTACCCGGTAGACAAGTCACTCCAGTCAAACCTTGGAAACATGGGCCATAGTTAAGACCGATTCTCTTCATCATTGCATACAGGCCGTTGGCTGACCGGGGATACTGGGAAGGGGGCGGTATTGAGGTAGGATGCGTGGCCCCCGCTCGGATCTGGCCTACACAGTGCTTGATCCAGGCAGTCTCGTTGAACGAGATTATGCTGAATTCCCACCAGTCAGAGTCCAACATAGTGGTAAGCCGGATAGGGTGTAGATTCGTGATCATCTCAACTGTCTTGGACTCATTCAATATTAATGCTGTGTGCACCATGACATCCCGGAAGCCGCAACGGTCGTCTGAGGAGATCTGTCGCATGGCCTCCACTGCCATTGCAAGGTAGCCTGCACAGGGGAATACGGTATCATTGATAATTCGATGATCTCGAAGCCATGGCACGTCTTCTAAACGAAGCATGTTGCGCCATTCGGGTCGTAGGTCGTTGCCCTCCAGGGTGCGAGAGCCCAGTAATTCGTGGTGAGGAAATTCACGGGACCTCCACTCTTTGCACATTCTGCTTTCAGACCAATACTCATGCTCATGGTGCCACTGGTATAGTGGCAAGTTAGTGAGCAAGCGCCTTGCTGGGCAGATCTTCTGGAAATCCAATGATACATTGTTCAAGTATAGCTCCCCGACCATGTGAAGTATGGATTCGGTACAGTCCTTACCTTTGGTCATGGCTGCGAGGTAAATGTCTTTAGACCGGTTAGCTTCTTGGGAAATCTGTCGGAGCGGCCCTTTGAGGGCACTATGTGGACCCATCTCGAGGAAAAGATGCTCGGTGGATCCTTCACTGTCCATCAAATGCTTGACAGCACCATAGAACAGGACCGGCTTTTCCGCGTTTTCTCGCCAGTAGCCCGCATCTAAACGACCTGGCCCTTCTATTCTCTTTTCGTAGACACTCGAGAAAAAGGGCACTACAGGAGCCTTGCTGTGGACATTCTGGCACAGGAAGGACTCAATGGATTCGCCAATATCCAGGATATGGTCTGTGAGATGATCAACATTCAGAATCCCAACAATTTGTGTATATCTGTAGAAGAGCAAACTGGGTACCCACGAGAATGATACCCCATCTCCACATTCAACCTACGAACGAAACACCCCGGATTGTCTCTCTTGATTGCTTCACAGGCCTTTTCCAAGACATCAAGATCCCCTGATAGCGTAATACTCTGCGGGCTATTTTCGCACGCTATCACGATCCCTTGAGTCAAATAGTGGGCGACTTCCTTATAGCCAAGCCCTATGGCGGCCATCCCACCCGGTCGTGGGTATCCTTTGGTCAGGTACCCACGGTAATATGCGATTATTATTGCCTCCCCGGCTGTGATCGCCTTTGAAGCGTAAGCGGCTGCGATCTCTCCACCGGAGTGACCAACTACTGCATCAGGCCGAATGCCCCATTGACGGAGAAGGTTCACTAATGCCACCTGAACAGCCGTGACTAGCGGCTGGGAGTACTCTGACATAATTAAATTGCTAGTGCGTTCTGGCTCCAACAGTTCGTCTCTGAGATTCCAAGAAGGGGCATGTTCCAGTCTGGCCAGTACGGCGCTCATATCAGTAATGTCTTCGTCGAAGGAGGGATAGTCAATTATCAGCTCTTTAGCCATTCCTGCCCATTGGGACCCTTGACCAGGGAAGACCATTGTTATCGTGGGTTTCTCTTTGATTTTGGTCAAGCGAGAGAAGACCAAGGCATCGCGTGATGCACTGGTGACACAGTAGACTCTGTTAGCTAGATGTTCCCGTCGATTGCACAAAGTGTATGATATTTCCGCCATCAAAGATGGATTGCAACGGATATATCGTTCATGCTTGAGTAGACTCTGTGTCAGTGACACTGGGTGTGCTGCTGATATTACGTGGATGAACTTCCGAGGACGGGGAAGCGACTTTAAGCTTCCACAGATGGCCTTTGGGTCCTGGCTATCGGCGTCGGGCATAGTAGTTTGAGACATGAAAGGTGTAACACTCTCGAGAATGATATGTGCATTTGCTCCCGCGATACCAAAGGAGTTTACGCTCGCTCTCAACGGCTTATTGGACGGCCATTTTATCACGTCGACTGGGACCTCCATGTTAGCCTCCTTGAAGGGAATATTCGGGTTCGGAATCGAGAAGTTTATGCTCGGGGGAATTCTCATATTCTCCAACGCCAGTATGACCTTCACAACTGACGATACCCCGCAAGCGCCCTCACTATGGCCCAGGTTCGGCTTGACGCTTCCAATGTAGACTGGATCCTGATTACCTCCGAAGACTCGTGCGATTGCCGCAGCTTCGACGGGGTCACCCACAGGTGTACCTGTTCCATGAGCCTCAACAAAAACGGTTTGCTTCGGGTCGAGCGACACTTCTCGATATGCTTGACGGATCAATGCCTCATGTGCATCAGAGCTGGGCGTCGCCATTCTCGGCGTTCCACCGTCGAAATTCGTCGCAGTCGCCCTGATAACGGCACGAATTGCATCGCCATTTTTGATCGCCTCTCCAAGGGACTTGACATAGATGACATTGATGGCTTCCCCCCTGGCATATCCGTTCGCTGCCACATCAAAAGTTTTGCACGAACCGTCAGGTGATAATGTACCTTGCTCCGCCGTGGCAATGGACATTGTGGGCGAGAAAATAAGATTTGTACCCGCAACCAGTGCCCCGGAACAATCGCCCGCACGAATCGCTCGGATAGCTTCATGCAAAGCAATCAAGGACGACGAACACCCTGCTTTGATGGTGAAAGAGGGTCCTTTCAAATCGTATTCGTAACTTATTCGATTAGAGAGGGACAGATCGTGCCCTCCAAGGACTCGGAACATCCCTGCATCCTGTATATCCTTGGCATGGAGATCCAACCAGTCCTGTCCGGAGAACGTCTTAGATCAGTCCCCTCTAATTTCTATACTTATTTCTCTACTTACCTCGCCCCAGACTCCAACATAACAACCAATTTTGCTACCGCGCCAGTTCACTTGACCTGAGGATTGCATGCATTCGTAGACAACTTCGAGCAGCATCCGTTGCTGGGGGTCAACATCGTCCGCCTCCTTTAGACTCATCGAGAAGAAGGAAGTATCAAAATATTTCAGATTATCACTCTCTGCGAGAAAGTGTCCATGTTTCATCGTGACCGATCCTGCTCGTCCAGTTGGGCTATAGAATCCGTTCACATTAAACCGACTTTTGGGGATCTTGCTTCGCGTAGATCGCTTCTCTGTGATAAGCTTCCAGAGTTCTTCCCCGGTATGAATTGCCCCAGGTAGTCGCAATCCAAATCCGACTATGGCTATCGGCTCCAAGGGGCTGTCAGCTTTACCATGGGTCACAGGCTCATTTGGAAGCTGCACGGACAGCGCCGGGGAAGGTGATTCTTTGGAATCCATTATGGGTCTGATGAACATAGAGAAATTGGATATAAAGAAGAGTGACTGAGGGGAGACGAGTGGCAGATCATCTCCATATGATAAGACTAAAGCGAGACAGTGAGACTGGCATGAGGTATGACGAACGGCATGGCCCTTCAGCGGAGCTTTAGATCCGGGAACCTTCAAGCAGGCCCCTTTCAACGGTCATAGGTCACAAGTAGCATAAAGTTACCTTGGCTGTAGCTAATTAGATGCCAAGGGTTTTCATAATTCTTCTTGTTCCATGATTCCTAACCATTCGCTTAGAAACGTGACATTCATCTCGTGGACCTCTCCCATCTTTAGCAACTTCGGTGTATCCGGCGCAGGGCATGTCAGTCGACCAATGAAACAATTGAAAGAATGAAATGACCATCAAGTTAGCGAGCAAGGTACGGCGAGACAATGACCTCGCTCGATGGTAATTTGATGATTGGTTTAGGTACTGAAGCACAAAGTCAATTGCGGAGTGCGAATTGACAGGAAGGTCAGCTGACGGGAAACCAAACCCCCCAGCCGATATATACTTTGGCTTATCTATTCCAATAATTATAGCTCCAGAGTCATGTGCAGGGATTCAGGCCTTGGTAGACAGCTGACGTGTAACTAGCAAGGTTATATTCGGCAATCCGCCAACCGAGCGATCTTCATGTGCTTCGAGTCGGTAGCACGGAAAGTACAAGTTCAGATGCTGCTGGTCTTTTCCACGCGACAAGCCACCTTTCTTCACTAAGCTGTTCTCCTCGATGGAGGACCGTCCGGGGTCTTTGTTCTATTCAAAAGAAAATCATGTGGGTTATACATATTAACCTTAGGATAGCTTATTTGGATTCGATTACGACTGGTAGGTCTAGGCCCCATAAGGAATCTGTGGGGGATCATTTGCTTTGGCAGTAGTTTCTGTTTCTAACCCTAGAATCATGAGTAAATTGCCTGTTGTTGCTGACATACCCTGATATAGAAACTGGTCAACACCCACATTCGGGATATGACCCAGCTGACAATCCATAGAAGTGTCCATATGCTTAGTGATACCTCCATCTCATGTGGTAGAGTCCACTATTATTCCCCAAAGTTGACTTCATTTTCTATGTCGTAATCAGTGGAGGGCGCCCTCCGTATAGAGAATAGTTAGGGCAAATGAGTCAAAAGCGGGTCCAGTGCGGGGACTCCGCAATGGGTTCCAGAATTGACATGCTTCTCGGCGTCGCTATCTCCAAATTTTTTCGCACACTGCCGCCATGTCGACAACTACCACTACAGTGACCAGTGAGCTCAGCTCACTCCGTCTCTCCGCTGAAGAAGTCCGACTTCCAGCCCCTCGAGATGACCGAAAGTCGCGCCTGCAACAAGTCGTCGTCATCACCCAGCTGTTTGCCGTCACACTCACGGCCAGTGTGATCAATGGCTTGGTTGTAGTCGGACTCCCCACTATCACTGCAGACCTCCAGCTGCCCCCTTCGCTCTCTCTATGGCCATCGTCTGTATGCAGTCTCGCGACGGCTTCTACACTCCTTCTGTCCGGCTCAATTGCCGACACAATTGGCCCACGATGGGTTGAACTAGTCGGATCTCTCGCCAGCGGCGCCCTGATGCTTGGGCAGGGTCTGTCGCAAACTGGAATTGAGCTGGTGATCATGCGAGCCTTCCAGGGTGTCGGTCTCTCAATGCACCTCGCCTCTTCAGTATCCATTGTCACGCAGCTTCTGCCCCCTGGTAAAGGCCGTAACCTGGCATTTTCCTGCATAGGCCTGAGCCAGCCATTGGGCTTCTCACTGGGACTTGTCGTCGGCGGCATTCTAATTGACACTATTGGCTGGCGCGCAGGCTGGTACATCGCCGGAGGAATCACTCTCTTCTTCACCGTCATCGGACTGTGGTCATTACCCAAGAGCCCCGTGCAGCGAGACGGACACATTCTCCGCAATGTGCGAACCAAGATCGACTGGGTGGGAGCTGGACTTGCTTCAGCATTTATGGCATTGCTCTGCTACCTGCTCGCGTGAGTACCCTCAAACACCAATAACTATTCCCTAATCTAACCAATCTACAAACACAGCATTCTCAGCGCAAACCCCTCCCGCATCCGCTCCGCAGAAAGCATCATAATCCTCTGCGTCGCCGCCATCGCCCTCCCCACCTTCATCACCTGGGTCCATTTCCAAGTCAAGCGCGGAAAACCAGCCCTAATTCCCAACGCACTATGGAGAAACACCTCTTTCTCGAGCATCTGCGCCACAGTCGCCCTTTCCAACGCAGTAATCAACTCCATGGAGCTCTTCGCCAGTCTATTGTGCGTCCCCACCTCCCGTCCCCATCCCCTTGCCAGGTCACCCTCTATTATTTTTATCACCACGTACTAACCAAATACATCAAACAGCTTCCAAGAAATCCAATCCCTCAGTGCCCTCGGCGCCTCGATCCGCATCCTCCCCAGCCTGATCGTCGGCGTGCTCATCAACCTCGTAATCGGCTTCTTCGTACACCGCATCCCCGCCTACTGGATTGTTACCATCACATCCTTCTTCTGCGCCTTCTCCCCGCTCCTCATGGCCGTCATCAACCCAGCCTGGACATACTGGGCGAATGCCTTCGTCGCGCAACTCCTGCAGCCCATTAGCGCTGACGCGCTCTTTACGGTAGGGTTGATCGTCATCACGAATGTTTTTCCGGATGATACACAGGCGCTGGCCGGAGCGGTGTTTAATACCTCGGCGCAATTTGGGAGTGCGTTGGGGATGGCGGTGTTGCAGGTGATTTCGACGGTAGTGACTGAGGAGAAGGAGAAGGGTGGAGAGAGTGAGAAGAAGGCATTGATGGAGGGATATCGGGCCAGTTTTTGGACTATGTTTGGGTTGATGGTGGTTTGTACGGCGGTGGGGTTCTTTGGGTTGAGGAGATCAGGGAGGGTGGGGTTGAAGAGGGACTAGATTGTTGTTATTTGGGTTGTTTGGGGGTTTGTGGGTTATTGTTCTGCTGGTTGGGGTGTTAGGTTGGGAAAAGTTTGTTGGCTTTTTATACTTCATTGTCTATATTGGGTTGGTGTGGATTTTAGGGTTGTTGTGCATCTACATAAGTGGACATAATAGACTGTGGCATTATGATTAGCGAAGGGAAAGGGAAACCATACTTCTAGAGTATCTCGAAATTAGTTTAATTACATTCATAACCGATTTTCTGGCATTCTTGCCTCAGAGTATACTATAACATATTCAGCAGAACCCCTTCACCCACTTCGATCCCTCACACTTCAAGTCAGTCTCTCAACCTGTTATCACTTCGCACCACCCGCCCCGAGCGCCTCAACCGCCTGCCTCGTCAACCCCTCAAACGTCAACTCCGGCGCAGTAAACGCATGAAAACTCAACGCCAGTGCAAACTCCCCAAACAACCACTGCTGCAACTCGGACCCAATCATACTATTTAGTCCATACGAGGCAACAGTCCCTTTACTGAAATTAATCTCGTCAATCTCCCTCCCCAACATACTCGCGCATTTCTGTACAATCCGATCTCCAACGTGCGCCATTAGCGTCTCATAATCCAGCTCCTCCCCATCACCGATAACTTCCCCATCCGGCTTCGAAGCTCTCAACGAACCCTGCAAAAGATCCAGGTCACGCTGCACATCACGCAGACGAGCATCACCATGCCAGAATAGACGGTTTGTACCGGCAGAAAGGTGCAGCAGGGAAGGATCGAGCCCTAACACGAGATGACTGGGACTTCTCGGAGACATGGCGACTTCGAGACCCTCGAGCATCTCTATCTCGTCAATTCCGTAGAAGCCTAATCGCTGGAGAGAGTCCTCGACGGTTTGGTTTTCTGCTACTACGCCGACGTCGAGGAGCATGGGTAGCGCTATCGAGCAGGCGGGTAGGCCAAGGGACTGGCGGTATACTGCGAACGCATCGAGAAAGCTGTTCCCGGCACTGTAATTTGTCTGACCTGGTGTGCCTATTGTGCCCGAGATCGAACTGGTCATGACGAAGAAGTCTAGTGGGGCGTTGATGAGGACGGAATGGAGGACATGTGCTATGCGGAGTTTGGGGGTGACGGCAGCTTGGTATTGCGCTGCTGTCATGCCCTGAAGTAGGCCGTCCTAATGGGTGATTAGATCATGTCTTTGGAGATGGAGATAATGAAGTTGTTTACCTGCAGTACCATTGCAGCGTGCACCACACCACGGATCGGTCTTTCTTTCATCGCTCGGGCGACAATTGCTCTCATATCGGACTCATTGCCAGCATCAGCCTGAAATACCTGTACAGATGCACCGGCCTTTTCAGCAAGTTCAACGGTCTGTGCTGCCTTTGGCTGCGTTGCGCCTGAGCGTGACACGAAAATGAAATGCCGACATCCTCGTTCAGCCATCCAGCGGACCAGACTGCTTCCAAGGCCGCCGAGCCCTCCAATGAGTAGGTATGCTGCATCAGGGAAGAACTTGACCCGTCGGATCTGAGGTAGGATCTGCCGTTGTCAGAGTTGTAAAACACGAGGCTAGTGAGAATTGCAACATACCTTTACCGTACTTTCACCATATTTGAATTGCACTGCCGCATGTACCTCTCCAGTTGAGCCTGGATATGCATTGAACTGGTTGCCATTTGACTGCGTGGGCATTTGATCAATGCTGTAAACTGGCACATGGGACGTCCAGATGTCCTTGTTCTTCTTCAAAAACTCCAAACCATCCTGTAGGATTTCAGCCGCCATCCCTTGTCGTGTACCGAGGTTTTCGTATCCCATCGGCAGGAAAGAAGCACCCTTGGTAAAAGGACCTGTATCCAGCTTCCCTGCCATTCCTTCATTGCATAAGACAAACCGACCGGCCGCTGATATATGTCTCCATGCCTCTTGACCAGCTGTTGAGAACTTTTCGCATATCACCAGTGAAAACTTCCCGGAGGTGGCTTCGAGGACTGGCGACATATGAGACGCATGCATATCCTCAACCACAACAATTGGGATGCCGGACG